CCCCCCCCCCGCTGTGTACGGCCCTGTCAGAGGTGCTAAACGAATGGCTGAACGCTCACAAAACGTCACTTCACTTGAACGTTGTGGATACATCTTTGAAGATGGTAACGATTATTTAACAAAAATCCTACCAAAATTTTGTTTTACCAGATATCTTAAAGTTTGAGCAGCTCTTGAAAATTCTAACATCTCTCACACTTTATTCTAGCAATATTCTTTATTTAATAAGAAAGGTCGGTAAAATGGTAGAATGTTAACCGATTATTATTAGTAAATGTTTTTAAAATTTAATTTAAATTTGATATATGTATAATATGTCCTTAGTTATCTATACCTTTACAAATTTTCCGTCCTTGTACTACCTTGTGGACTGTAAATATTCTTTTCGTACACTTTTGCAGAGTCCTAATTGTATACGTGTAATTCTTCTGATATTTGGTTTCCGTTGACAAATTTCTACTTTTCATTTGTACAAGCAACACCACAATTGAACCATGCATGCACATTCGTGTACACACAGGCATATAAAGTCGCATGTGAATGATTGTTTTCATTTCAGCCGATCATACCATATATTATTAAAAGCTCTCATAACCGCAAGAGTTAACTACGGATTCCAGGACGGTTTTGCTACAAGGATGTTCTTTCAAGCTTTCGAAGAAACTGATATGGTAACCTTTGAAAGTGCGCGAATAAGACTGTCATTTTCAGTATTTCAAACAAGCATAGATGATATATAGTTAGTGCCATCATTACACCGTAATAAAACTTTAATTCTTTCCATAAAGTAAACATTTGCATTTGGCTGCATGGTTAAACTTGTAAATCAGAAACCAACACTTGCTGATTGTAGCAGATGTTTTATATTTCTCCAACAGATACAATAATTATTCACGTTTAGTTTTTCAATCCAGGATTAATCCTCGGCTAGAGCGTACAATTTTTGTAATACCGCTGACACTAGCCGTCTCGTTTCGTTTGCAATGTTACACGTCTGTTTCATCTAATTGAATAACAGCCGATTTTGCAGTTTTTATTGAACGAGAATGGCATGGCAGAAATATTCTCCGTTGGAAATAGTCAGCTGAAGATATTAATCTTTATGACTAGTGCATTAGCCATTAATTCATTTTCCTAAGTTCGTTATTCGCTCAGAGTACACACGAATAAAGAATACGTATTGTTCTGCATGCCGTCCAAGTTAAGGCAGGAGCAAATGTTTTATGGCTTTCACCAATGTTCCACTATGCATGTCGCAAAATGGTAGTTGAATTTCACCGTCATTTTCCGCAAATACAGGACAAGATACTAAGCAGTGTCACCAGATACTGTAATATGCTTTCATGATTAATAGTTCAAATGCATCGTCAGAATGGGATTCCATGAAAATATTTCCTGAATTTTTGAGTTTCTTATATTACTTGCTTCATATTGTTCACTACCATCGATCTTTAACCACGTTGTGGAATGTTGAATAAAGTTATTATTTTAGTTTTCACAAATATAGAACTCAATCATTCAGTATGTCTGTGTATCACACATGCAAGTAAACATGCTTATTCTGTTACAAGCTCCAACGCATGGTGTTAAAGTTTATACAAATTCGCATTAAAACCTAGCGACCTTGTAAATTTTTGTATATAATGGTATTATATTCCTAAAACAGACCTTTATTTCTCACATGCACTAGCATATGCCAAGATAAGTCATTTTCACATATTGCCTTTGAGTGCAAATAGCAAAGATACTGTGTTAAAATACACGACTGAATATGATGAAATCTGATACCTTCAATTAATTTCAAAAATATTTTGGTCGCTTTTTCTTTGTCAAGTTTGCATAAACTTTCTTGAATTTGCTTGTATGTCGTTGTAATAAACAATATCAACAAACATTTGTAGACTATGTGACTGATACGAAGAAATAGCGAATCTAAGAAACATTGTATAGGAACAACGTGAAGCAGTGTTGTTGTAATTAATATTCGCTAATAAGTGCACCCGTGAATCAAATATATGGATATTTTAACTACTAATTTCAAAGCAATTTCCCTTGATTCTATTTGTTTCCTATAGGAATTTGTCCCAGTGGAAACTAAATGCCAAGCTTGTTCCAGTGAAAACTAAATGCCAAGCTTGTTCCGGAAAGAAAAACGAGGATAAATATATTGCAGGATAGCAAAATACTTAGTAAAGTATATATTTCAAGTGTATATTTTAAAGATCTTCTGTACTTTAAAATATACACTTGAAATAAATTAAACATATACTTATACTTTACAGCCATTTATGTGACGAAGCAGAGTGCTGAATATTATTATATCAAATTCAAACTATGTATGTCTTGACCACTGATTCTCTTTTGACCTGGCACATTTCCAACATATTACCACACTTTCTTGCTTGCAAACCTCACTAAATTTTTTAGCTTACATTTCATTCACAATACATTTTATTCGGTCTCATATTTCTCTGTACAGACCACGCGTTTGGTTAATAAGAATTTATTAATTAACACATCATCAACTATAAATCCATACCACAACACCAACTTTAACCGGGTGAAAAGGGGCACAGGAGAGAACGAACCCCATTGTCGTTAGATTATTTAAAATGAATATCACTTAGGCGAAACAATGCTTGGTTTTTATTAATTGCCAGTGATTTGATCTATGTAAAATAATGTACCTGCTTTATATCCGGATCCAGCGATCGCAGAGCAGCGGTGCATGTGGACTCGGGAGGGTATGCCCACGCCAATTTTCCGCCGAGTATAAAGAAATAATAGACAATTGATAAAGATGGAAACATTGTTATTATTCACATTTTGGATTGCAGTTTAAAAATTTAAACAAACATGGCGTAAGGCGACAATGGTATGGGTTTATAATCAAATCTTAGTAAATTTTACATGGCTGTTTATCGAAATTTAAAACATTTCAAAACCTGAAAATTTCCACTCTAAACTCGCCATGCCAAACTTTTTCCAAATATTCGACTATTATTTCTTCAAAATTTGTCCAAAATTGAAATTTCCAAAGGTAGGAAAATGGGATTTCAGTCGACCGTTTTAAATCTGGTCGTATTTGCTAATTAAATTTATTATCGCAACGAAACAAAAGGTGTTATTTCATAGCCGAAAGCGCGAACTTTATAAGTTTAACTAAAGTAAATCAGATTTCTTATAAGTTTAACACCTACTTTAATGCAGAATAACATGTCAAATTTGGATTTTCAAAAAAAAAATGGATTAGTGTCAGATAAAGATTAGGGTTAGATTAAGATTCGAGTTAGGGGTAAGTGTTAGGGTTTTGGGTGGGGTTGGGGGTTCAACATGAGTCGCGAATTTATTGTATTGATAAATTCGGACGTGTTTAACAATTTACTCATATGGAAAATTCAAAGGTGAAGCTCGTGTTGCAACAACGGACAAGAAACTCTAAATCACAAACTCAAAGCTGAAATATAGTTTCTCTACTACTTTTCTAACGTGAACACTACAGCAACTAGGTGAACTCGCTATTGCAATACCAGATTCTGCGCTTGGCAACGCACACACAATTCCGCACAACACCTTCCAAGTTCAAATATTTTCCTCTGCTATTTTCTCGACAGCACGTACCAACTACAGCAACTTTAATGTCATGAAACCCCTCTTCCACTAACACAAGCAAAACTCCACTGCTTTCCTGTCAACGAACATAACAATTTGACCTTTTTCTTACAGAATATTTTTCTGTCCATTGTCAAGCACAATATAAGCTTTATAGCTTAACATTTGATCAACAGCAACGTAACTCAATCAAACCAACCGTTTTCCTGAAGAAAGTCAATTGTATTTTCTTCAAAACAACTATCAAAATAACAGCTGATATGTACTAGTTAAAACATCAGCAGCCGAATCTTAATCCGATATTGAAACTCTCTCCGAATAACGCCTTTAAAAAACAACCTATCTTATGAGTTCATTAATTAAAAAATAAACATTTAGTCTAGGACCTGTATATGAGTTTGTATGCGTTTCATTTAGCACAGGTAATCTCAACTGTTTTCGAGTAAAATGTCCATGGCGGTCAACATGGTATATGTGCCAAAAGCTGAATCCGGGACGAAGTCCTGAAAATGACCCCACCCTGAAACGGCAGTGTCGACATAGCTCTAACTTCAGAAAACAAAAAGCGATGGTCTTTCTGAAGTGCTTATAGTGTTTAGAAGGGTTGCTTTTAGGGGTGGTCTTTGGAAGAAAAAATTTGTCTAAGTATAATATTTTACAAGAAAATCACCATGCACCACCCCAGGTAAATTGCTAATTATGCATAAAATAACTAATATGCCTGGCAGAAATTAAATATTCTTATTTCCTAAAAAAATTATCATGGGGTGAAAAACTATGCTTAATTTAATATAAATGTTGTTAATTTCATAAGGATTGTCATTGTTTTCTTTAAATATAATATATTTTATTTCACTTACCCCCCACGAAAACACGATTTCAGCCATATTTTGTCGTCTTAGCTTGTTGGCTTTTTATCGCCGAATCTCGCAAGTATCATCCAGTTATTGTACTTTTGCATAATCATAAATGGCTGAAGAAGATTTCAAAGAAGGTTTCATCCACTTTTGAAACAGTGCAGTGTATTTTATCTTCGATGTTGTGTCCTTCGATATTTCGTCAATTTGCCGCCATTTTAATGGCTCGCCGCTTCTCTGCCCGATAAATGCCACTTCTTCGTTTTCATATGAACTTAGATTACATTATCCACGAGTACTTTATTGTAGAATATTCCCAATCCAAAAGTTGGAAATATTATTTGTACTTGGGAGGAAAAAACCTCCTATAATAGTTGTCCTGTCAGAATTCAAAAGAAGTAATTTAAAGTCACGCGCAAGTTCGCGTGGGTTACACCTCATGGGTTACATAACAGGGGTGTGTGAATATTTTCACGAAGCAACAGCAACCTAACTAAGTACATTATATTTATTGTATATTTGTATTTTATGATAAAAACAATAAACATCTGCGTATTTCTATCATCCATTATAAAAATACAAAAAATATAATACATTTAGTTAGGTTGCTGCATGTTGCTGTCATGCTGTGGTGGCTAAGGCAGCGTTTACACTGTACCGTTTTCGTAGCGTTTTCGTATTGTTCTTAATCCTCAAGGGAACGCAAGACAATAGTCTAGTTCTCTCGAACAATACGAGAACGCTACGAAAACGGTACAGTGTAAACGCTGCCTAACAAACGTTTCGTGAAAATATTCACCCCCTGTCATGCAACTTGCGCGTGACTTTTAACAGGACAATTGTACTGGGAGGTTTTTTCCTCCCAAGTACAAATAATATTTCCAACTTTTGGATTGGGAGTATTCTACAATAAAGTACTCTTGGATAATGTAATCTAAATACATATGAAAACGAAGACGTGGCATTTATCTGGCAGAGAAGCGACGAGCCATTAAAATGGCGGCAATTTGACGAAAATACACTGCACTGTTTCAAAATTGGATGAAACCTTCTTTGAAATCTTATTCAGCCATTTATGATTATGTAAAAGTACAATAACTGGATGATATTTGCGAGATTCGGCGATAAAAAGCCAACAAGACGAGAAAATATGGCTGAAATGTGTTCTCGTGGGGGGTAAGTGAAATGAAATGTATTATATTTAAAGAAAACAATGACAATCCTTATGAAATTAACAATATTTATATTAAATTAAGCATAGTTTTTCACCCCATGGTAATTTTTTTTAGGAAATAAGAATATTTAATTTCTGCCAGGCATATTAGTTATTTTATGCATAATTAGCAATTTACCTGGGGTGGTGCATGGTCATTTTCTTGTAAAATATTATACTTAGACAATTTTTTTCTTCCAATGACCACCCCTAAAAGCAACCCTTCTAAACACTGTAAGCACTTCAGGAAGACTATCGCCTTTTGTTTTCTGAAGTTAGAGCTATGTCGACACTGCCGTTTCAGCGCGGGGTCATATTCAGGACTTTCGTCCCGGATTCAGGTTTTGGCACATATGCCATGTTCACCGCCATGGTCACTTTACCCTAAAACAGTTGAGATTACCTGTACTAAATGAAACGCATGCAAACTCATATACAGGTCCTAGACTAATTGTTTGAGCCAAGAAAATCAAAACTGAAGTTTATGTAAATCAGGACAAATCTTTATCCAATTTACAAACATTGCATGATTAAACATTCCTTCCTTTTGCATTTTCCTCATTAATTATTAATAAGTTTTTTTAAATCTAGCTACACTTAACCCTTCTGAACAGTCAAAGCTGCACTACCAACATATAATAACAAAATGCTAAGCCTAAAATATTCCGTACTACCGCATGGTAATAAAAATTTCAATCATGCTATGATCACGTTTAAATGATTCCGGTGATGCCTGCTGAAGATTTCAACCCTTGTTAATGAAAACGCTCTCACAAACTTTAGGATCATATTCATACTACAACAAAACTGGAAAAAAACTCATGCGATTTTTCCCTAATTTTTTCAATCTCATTTTTTCCAAACTTCACATCCTGCCCATAGATGGTAAACGGAGCCCAGATCCAACTGGACCGGTAACCCTCTTTTTCATGTGTCTGAAAGAAGTTCATTGTTCTTCGTAAAGCTTCACAAACTGGTGTTTCATGGCAAAGTTCACCATAAAATTTCTCCATGAATTCCTTTGTGGCATAATCGCTAATAGGCCACAGTGTGGCAAGAACACAGCGTGCCCCAGCTGCAAGAAACGCTCGAGTTATACCTATGACACCTTCTGAAGTAATTTCACCTTGCCCGGTATGGCAACAACATAAAACAACTAAGCGAGCTGGCACAGAAATATCTAGAATATCTCCCTGCGTGAGAAGGTATGATTCTGGTTTAGCAACAGATGAGCAATGTTCAGTAAGAGAAAAATTCGAAGCAAGCATTATTTCACCTCGAGTCGGTTCTCCATGGGCAGCTATATGGATTATACTAGCCCCAGTTAAAAGCTGCAATACTACCTGTTTTGTTGCCTCGCGTCCTAATAAAGGCCTTGCTTGGAAAAACTTTGAGAGACATTTAACTTCTTCAGCGGCATTGGGCAGGTCAGCTGGAGTAACATCTTTTCCGTTTAAATTAACTTTTCCAACAGTTGGATTACCAACAAACAAAGCAAATCCAAAGTTTGAGTCAAAGGATTGTTCCATCGTAGTCTTTAGAGTATGCAATGAAGGCGAAATTTGAACACTGTAACTGCTGGATAAATATGAGCCATTTTCATCAATCAGTGCTGAAAATGGTGCAAAAAACAACAGCGGGTCAGGGACAATAATGAGCTTATTGCCTTGAGCGATATCTTTCACAGGATCAACTAAAAGTTTAAACAACATTTTCAAAATGTCTCGATCAAAGAAATGACTATAGCTAGCAGGATTGTCAACCGCATTTTTAGACGCAGGCGTTCCGCCTGGGATCTCAAAAGGAGATATCACTTGATTATTAGTATGAGGAACAGAATCGAGCATGTAAAACGAAGAATTTCGATCAATATTAACATCCACCCTTCCAAGAAGTTCCATAATTAGCAAAAGAAATGTTTCCCGACGTGCGTCTAATACTTTTCTGAAGATAACTTTGTCAGCTAAAACCCAAGTATTAAGAAAACCTTCCGAATCAAAAGCGAATACTAAAATTGATGTATCATTTTTTCCTAGGTGGAGAAGAGTTTGCAATCCTTCTATTTCTATTTGCTCTTCTCTGGCTTCAATTCTATTCCATATCGCGCGAGCATAATCGAACAACTCCTTACCAACAGAATTCCTACGCTTTTCAATGCAGAAATGGAGCTCTTTAGACCTACCAAGGTCAATGACTAATAATGCGGACTCCGCGCGCTCCAACGAAAGGAAACAACCCATTAAAATTGTATGAGATACGAAATATTGCTTCACGAATGCCAGTTGATTTTGTTCGGGAACTGAACCTAAAAACATTTCATCAAAAAAACTAATCGATTTTATTAGGTGAAATGTTGCAACTTCATACTCTTCTAGACAGCGATGGACATATCCTAAATTAGCGTGGCAAATTGCTATTCCTGACTGATCGCCAGTGGCTATACTTATCTCTAGACCTATTTTGCGATGGTCAATGGCCTTCTGATATTCTCCTAAACATTGATACGCATTGCCCAAATTGCAATTGCTTCTTGCTTTTCCTGATCGATCGTCAATAACAGTGCTTATTTCTAGCCCTATTTTGTGACAGTCAATGGCCTTTTGATATTCTCCTAAACTATGATACGCATTGCCCAAATTGTTATTGCCTCTTGCTATTCCTAATCTATCGCCAATAACAGTGCTTATTTCTAGACCTTTTTTGTGATATTCAATCGCCTTCTGATATTCTCCTAAACTATCATAGGCATTGCCCAAATTGCCATTGCTGATTGCTATTTCTGAACGAGCGCCAATAGCAGTGCTTACTTCTAGATCTATTTTGTGATAGTCAATGGCCTTCTGATATTCTCCTAAATTATGATAGGCATTGCCCAAATTGCAGTTTCCTCTTGCTATTCCTGATCGATCGCCAATAGCAGTGCTAATTTCTAGGTCTTTTTTGTGATAGTCAATGGCCTTTTGATATTCTCCTAAACGATTATAAGCACTGCCCAAATTGCCATTGCTTCTTGCTACTCCTGATCGATCGCCAATAGCAGTGCTTATTTCCAGATCTTTTTTGCGATAGTTTATGGCTTTCTGATATTCCCCTAAACTATGATAGGCATTGCCCAAATTGGCATAGCTGCTTGCTATTCCTGACCGATAGCCTATAGCAGTGCTTATTTCTAGATCTTTTTTGTGATAGTCAATGGCCTTCTGATATTCTCCTAACCTATAATAGGCATTGCCCAAATTGCCATTGCTTCTTGCAATTCCTGACCGATCGCCAATAGCAGTGCTTATTTCTAGATCTTTTTTGTGACGATCAATAGCCTTCTGATATTCTCCTAAACTATGATAAGCATTGCCCAAATTGCCATTGCTTTTTGCAATTCCTGACCGATCGCCAATAGCAATGCTTATTTCTAGATGTTTTTTGTGATAGTCAATGGCCTTCTCATATTCTCCTAAACTATCGTAGACATTGCCCAAATTGCCATTACTCTTTGCTATTCCTGATCTATCGTGAATAGCAGTGCTTATTTCCAGACCTTTTTTGTGATAGTCAATGGCCTTCTGGTATTCTCCTAAACTATCAAAGGCATTGCCCAAATTGCCATTGCTGCTTGCTACTCCTGATAGATCGGCTATAGCAGTGCTTATTTCTAGATTTTTTTTGTGATAGTGAATGGCCTTCGTATATTCTCCTAACCTGTAATAGGCATTGCCCAAATTGCCATTGCTGCTTGCTATTCCTGATCGATCGCCAATAGCAGTGCTTATTTCTAGATCTTTTTTGTGATAGACAGTGGCCTTCTGATATTCTCCTAAACTATCATAGGCATTGCCCAAATTGCCATTGCTTCTTGCTATTCCTGATTGATCGCCAATAGCAGTGCTTATTTCTAGATCTTTTTTGTGATAGTCAATGGCCTTCTGATGCTCTCCTAAACTATCATAGGCATTGCCCAAATTGCAACTGCTTCTTGCTATCCCTGAGCGATCGCCAATAGCAGTGCTTATTTCTAGATCTTTTTTGTGATAGTCAATGGCCTTCTGATATTCTCCTAAACTATGATAGGCATTGCCCAAATTGCCATTGCTTCTTTCTATTCCTGATCGATCGCCAATAGCAGTGCTTATTTCCAGATCTTTTTTGTGATAGCCAATGGCCTTGTGATATTCTCCTAACCTATGATAGGCATTGCCCAAATTACCATTGCTTTTTGCTATTCCTGATCGATAGCCAATAGAAGTGCTTATTTCTAGATATTTTTTGTTATAGTCAATGGCCTTCTGATATTCTCCTAACCTGTGATAGGCAGTGCCCAAATTGCAGTTGCTTCTTGCTATTCCTAATCGATCTTCAATAGCAGTGCTTATTTCAAGATTTTTTTTGTGATAGACAATGGCATTCTGATATTCTCCTAACCTATGATAAACATTTCCCAATTTTGCATTGCTCCTTGCTATTCCTGATTGATCGCCAATAGCAGTGCTTATTTCTAGATCTTTTTTGTGATAAGTAATGGCCTTCTGGTATTCTCCTAAACTATCATAGACATTGCCCAAATTGCCATTGCTTCTTGCTATTCCTGATCGATCGCCAATAGTAGTGCTTATTTCTAGATCTTTTTTGTGATAGTCAATGGCCTTCTGATATTCTCCTTTACTATCATAAACATTGCCCAAATTGCTGTTGCTTCTTGCTATTCCTAGTCTGTCGCCAATAGCAGTGCTTATTTCAAGATTTGTGTTGTGATAGTCAATGGCATTCTGATGTTCTCCTAACATATGATAGGCGTTACCCAATTTTGCATTGTTGCTTGCCATTGAATTATCTTTTTAATCCCTTTTTGTTGATAGTTCTGAAACAAAGACATATAGGAGTAAATTAGCTAGGTGGATAAAATCGCAACATTCTTCTGTGCATTTACAGTATGATAAATCTACGGACTTAATTGTATAATTTAAACATTTTAAATTGTCAATACATTTTACCTTTAATGTTGGAGGCCATTGTTATAGCCTTGAATAAAAACAGCTAGCTTGTGCTAATGATTCGCTCTCTGTAAATTGAAAAAAGAAGTTTGAAATTTTGAGGAAAGGCCTTTCGTCTTGAAGTTAGGACCATGTGTTCGAAAATAGCACTTGCGCGTTTGTTCTGCAATCGTGGACATAACTTGTTAGTAAAACTTTCATTTACCGCTGTAATAGTTAAATTGTAGATCCTCCCTTCTTCCCCAACACAATGCTATTGAACTACTTTTATAATGATGGGAAATAATGGCAACACTGAGTGGGGGAAAGGGAGGTAGTCTTATGTGAAAAGTATTTGAATGTATTTTATGTTGTTTAATATTTATTTAATATGTTTATTTAATTTGTACGGTTTTGTCCACTACAAATGGAGGTTTTCCCGGTTACACGCAATTGGCTGTCAAGGTCTTAGAAGTCCACAACGCACATTCGTGTCAGCATAAAATTTTAAGCTTCCAAGCGAAACTAAAATATTAGTTTTTGCTTTATGTCAGGCAAAATCCTGATGAGCACTACGTGTTAATTTATAACCAGATAGATTTGCAAGAGAAGCAATGTACATGTTCTGCTCTAGCTAATTAACTATTAAATAACTTTATATGGTAGTTTTGCGCGAATATCTACCCCTGGTTACACGTCAGGCTGAAAGGTTAACAAACCATCGACAGTAGAGAGAAATTTTACGTCTGTGCATACTTTGTGCAAATATTGTAGCAATTTTGTTATTTCCAGAAATACGATATCTAAAGTCAGATAAGATCAAGTTATAACTCCGAATTTTGCTAAAATGCGATATCTAACTATATACGGTTAATTAACCTCTGTCAATTAAATCTACTAAAGACTTTCAATATCTAATCAATTTCATGGTTTTATTTAACTGTGGTTAACTTAACAGTCCAAATACGCAAATGGTATCCATAATTACGAAAATACTACTCTATTCCAACTGCTGCCCCGCTCCCATTGCCTCGCAGGCTGAAATTTACGGGAAATGCAAGCCCGTGTGCCAGGAATGAGGCAGTAAGCTGTCTTCTTAGGGAGGGGAAGCGGGAAAATAACGATAAACACGAACAACTGATCTATAATACACTAATTTATACCAATATGCAATATCCAGTATTTATCATGCCTACCATTTCGTTTGTGTGACTGGGTATTCCCAACTACATCCCTGGAATTGCCGTTTAACAAACAGACCCAGACGGGCTGGGATATCAGTATTTTATATGCAAAGTTGCGTAAGATGATCAAATTTATTTAAACACACTAATCTTTTCAACACACACTTGAAGGTATGCGAGTATTACAAAACACAAATTTATATACCACTATAACACGTCCAACATGCATGCTATAGCTTATATACTAACTAAACAATACATTTAACCAAGACAGCTAATTTGCAAAAACAAAAGTCGAGGAAGAAAGCTTTTCGAAAAACGAATAAGATACCGAAGTTCTTATTTCAGCCCCACTGTAACTGAAACGCTTTGTGGAATTCCGTCCGAGACCTGGGAATAAAAAGCCTGGTCGAAGAAGCCCTTAAATTGTAATCATTTAATGAGTTTGAATTTTGAAAAATTTCACAGTCTTTGAGGGGCTAACGATTGACCGTTTTGTACATGATCGCGGCTTTCATTTGCGCCCTGCGTTCGTGAAGCGATATCCAACCAAGAGCATTACAAGTTAAAATAGACTGAACGGCGCTTCATTTTTGAAATTCATGATCAATCTAGACGCCATGTTTTGTAGTTTTTGAAGGCGTTCACTAATTTACCAAGTGCATCCCAAACTTCGCAACAGTAATCAAACTGAATTAAAGCAATATATACCAACACCAAAGTGTTTCGATCAACAAATTCCTTAAGTTTTCTTATAGCGCCAATAGCTGACGATATCTTACTAGCAATAAATTCAAAATGTTTTCCCCCAATTTACATTCTCGTCAACCTGAACTCCAAGCACTTTGGCATGTTTCACTCTTTTGATTGACTGGCTGCCGATTTTAACTCCAGGTTGGGCATCGATATTATTCATTCCATGCCATAATCCAATCAGAACGTACTCAGTTTTCGCAATATTAAAACTAAGTAAATTTGCAGACAGCCACTTTCGGACAATCATTAGGTCTTCATTTGACCTCCTTTCCATTTCACCCAATGTTTCACCCACAGCTGTAAACATTCTAGATGTTGTGTGTTTGAGACAATTTGGCAAATCATTTATATAGACGATGAACAGAAGAGGAGGGCTAATTATACCTCCCGAGGAATGCCACAGGCTATTTCTCTCTGATCTAAAAGCATTCCTTCTAACCGACATATTTGTGTTCGGTGTGTCGGATAACAACGTAATAGCGTAAGCGCTTCTTTTCCAAATGCCATACGTTTGAAACTTACGCAAGAATATTTCGTAATTTCCAGTACCGAATGCTTTCTTTAAATCAAGGAAAACAGCTACAAGTTGCAATGGCGGCGGCCCATGTTGACATACCATTCATTTGTACAATCTAACAGTGCAGTAGAATAAAATAGTCTAAAACCAAACTGATATTCGGATAGAAAGTTCTCTTTCACCAAATAGTCAAATATTTGACCATACAAAATTTTTCGCGCACGAAAGTGCAGTGCGATTTTTTCTCATTTTTACAATCAAATTTTCACAAAAATACTGTTAAAAGTTATTAAGACTATCATCTACAAAAATTTGAAGTTTGTAAAAAGATTTTGCTTGTTTCTGTGAGTTTATACAATACAATTTGTCGGTTTTGGATCTGTATTATCAATTTAAACGGTCGCTCTCATAACGTAAGCAAGAAAATACATCATTGGTACAGGGCCTCTTTTAACATAAAGACTGGGGGGACATGGCCCCCCCAGCCCCCCTTACTGCCCCCCCAGTCGGCAATTTTGTCCCCCCCCAGTAGAAAGTCCCTTTTCATATTTTTTGGTGTGAAAATAACTCCCAAAGTCAATATTGGACAACATAATTAATCCTTATTCCAGTATTCCTTTCGCAGAATCTCTGCTATTCCTTTGCCTTCCCTTTCTGGACAATGAAAAATAGAAAAATAGTCAAATAGGAAATTTCGATCTGCAAAAAAATATTTTTCAAAGTGGGACTGGGAACGAAAGTGGGAACATTGGGATTTTGGGGGAAATCTCGGGATATTCGGGAAGCTTAGTTGGGAATTTCAAAAACATAATTTACATCAAAATTTACATGCAAATTGCTTGCCTTTGTTTGTACTATTAGTATTAAAAATGCCGTATGCAAATAAAAGAAAAGCGAATATTGAAAAACTGTTAAAACAAGAAGCGAGTAAATGCAAAAAGGTATCGGATTTCTTCACAAAGAACGAAAATGCAAGAACATCGTCATCGACATCGTGCGATACAAACGTTGAGAAAGAGTCAGAACAATTATTAAATATGGCGCCAATTGAAGTGGAAAGCGAAGTACAAGGCACTGCAGCTACTGGAGGCACTGACCAAGGAGAACCTCGTAAAGACAATGAACTGAATGAAGTGGATTTTGATATTCGAAATTCAGATAGGGAAGGTAATGTTCAATTTGTTCATACACGGGCTCCTTCGAATAATATTCCAAGCAATACTACACCTTCGACCTTATCGTCAACAAGCTCTGCAAATATAAACAGCATTACTTTGGTTACAACAAGTGACGTTGGTTTGCCAATAAGCACAGCAAACACATCGTCAACGCAAATGACTACTGAAACCACTACTGAGTATTACAGAGGCTACCCATTAAACCTAAAAGCACTTCTAGGAAAATTTGGAGATGGTGTACTATCTCAATATTATGAACGAAGTAGAGTTTCAACGCAGAATCGCCAGAAAGCTAGGGTTTTTGTCAAGTGTTGCATCTGTGGTGAATTCGAAGAGGAAGCAAAGCGCTTTTCAGCTAATGGTAGAGTGTACATGGCACAAGGTGTGCGTTGTGATGGGAAGAAAAAGATACAAGATGTAATTGATCATCTACTGGGGCCTTCACATAGAGCAGCTCAAGAAAAGAAACAGCTATCCAAGTTGTGGAATGCCAAAGACAAACGTCACCCATTTATTAACTTGGCAACAAAAAGTGATCCAACAGTTTTGAAGACCTTGACTGAAATGGCAGTAGAGGTCTATAATGACAGTAAATCTTTGACTTTAGCTGCCTGGTCATGGCCAGGTAGATCTCTTGCTAATTTACATGCACAACAACAGTTTAGGTCTTTAACTGACAGTGACAACGTACAAAGTTTTACCCCGTTTAAACCAAGTGGAGAGGAACTTCATTATAGGGATCCAATGCATTATGCAGAAATGTTGGAGATAATAGGAGATACAGAGAGAAAGCACCTTAGAGAAGAACTCCAGAACTGTATTTGTTTTGCTGCACAAATGGATGGTTCTGTCGATGCTAGGCAACAAGATAAGAAATTTATATTTGTTCGATTCAATACACCCGAGGACCCTCTTTCTATTAAGACAAGATTTGCAAGTGCAAGGGAAAGTACCAAGCGTGGTGCTGAAGGTTTGTGTTCTGCCATGACAAACTGGTTTGATGACATGGGCCTTTCTAAAGAATGTTTGCAGTCAAAATTTGTTGGGATGAGCACCGATGGAGAGTCTGCAAACACTGGTAAGGATTCTGGACTGTGGGCTAGAGTTGAAAATTATGTTGGTCGTTCAACAAGAAATATCTGGTGTGCATGTCACCGATCAGACTTAGCAATGGAAGATGTGATGAGGTAATAATAATAATAAATTAAAAATAATAAAATAATGATTACAATATTTCATTAGGAAGTCCACTCACAAAAGAGATTTTAAGTGAAGCCCTGAGCAAAAAAAGATAAAAAAATAAATTATAAGGCTATATTAATGTTAACATTTATAATGTCTTAGGTTGGTACCTGAACTGAAAATCT